GTGGGGGGGGGGTCTTTGCAGGCCTCGAGAGTGAGGCTGAACGTGTGTCTAGAGGTCAAGACTGCTGAGCTCACTTGGCCACCTGGCTTCTAATTGCCCCCGTCCTCCAGCAGCATGACCTTGGTCACATCAGCTGCCCACTCGGAGCCTGTTCTCGTGTTCAATGTGCGCACCTGTCCCTCCTCTCCCCCGTGTGGCTCCCGTGTCGGTGGGGTGGTAATACGTGAAGTGATCCCCTAGAGTTCAGGGCGCTCTCTGTACTCAGGAAGGGAACACCCTCACCTTGAGTCAGGGCGGCTGAGGCCTCGGGAGTGTGGAAACATGGGGAGGGGGCGGTGACCAGAAACCAGGACCAATGTGTGCGCCTGGGGAGGGCGGCAGAAAGCAAATCAATCCGTGCGCCGCCTCCTGCCACCTAACCCGCAATCTGCCCGAGCATGGAGCATCCTCGCCGCCATCTGTCCGCGGCTCGGGATACGCGGCCCTGCTCCCTACCGCTCGGTTTGCAGCTGCTCCGCGGACTCAGCTGGAGGCGGTGCCCTGGGGAGGCCGGCAGCAGGGCGTGGTGGTCCTTAAAGCGGCATTTTGTACTTAGCCTTTGCTTCTCGTATTTACATTTTAAAAATGTGTGGAGCACACCCAATTCACCCAGAATGAGACATATTTTACTCAAAGCTCCCTTTAAGCCGAGAGTAGGCACCGGGCTCGTTTTGCAGATGAGGCTCAGAGTGGACTGGGACTTTCGGTGGCAAGGGGTAGAAACCACAACTCAAACTTGGCTTAAGGGTAAGAGGGGGGCTTATTGGCTCGTGTAACTGAAGAGTCCAGAGGCAGAGCTGGTTCCGGAAAAACTATAGTTAGGACTCAGATGATCTCCACAGCGTGGGACCTGATTTCCTCTGTGGGTTTCTCAGGTTTTCTTCACACTAGATTCCCCACCTCCCCCCCAAAAAAGTTGCCTCACTTTCTCAATGGTCCCTGCAAAGGAACTGGGATCATGTGCCAGGACCCAATCTGAGTGCCCAGAGTTTAAATGGCTCTGATTGGCCCAGTGAGGGTCATGTGCCAGCCCTGACCTAGCCCCTCAGTGGCAGCCCTGGCACAATCTGAGTGGCCAGGAGGTTGGAAGGCTCGGATTGGTCAGGTCTGGATCATGAACAAAGCCCTGCACCTGGGACTGGGTCCCTTCCTGGAAACCCAAGGGCTGAGCACAGGGATGTTAGGGTCCTGCGAGGGGCTCATCGGGGTGCTGTTGGAGAAGCGTTTAAAACACTGACGTCCCCCACAGACCAAGGTTGGGTGGCCTGCCCATCTTCACACGGGCGCAGCCCAGACTCTCATCTCAAGCTGGCTGGTTTCAAAGGCTTCTCTATTTTTGCCATTCAGGGCAGCAACCCTCAGTTCCAGCCACACGTTAGAACCGGGGCAGGAAGGGGGTTCCAACAAATACTGGGACTTGGACCGTACCCCTGAACCAAGAAATGAGATGCTTTGGGGTGGGCGTGGGCATCAGTATTTCTCAAAAGCTCCCCAGGTGATTGTGTTGTGCGGCCAAAGAACTAGTGAGTTAGGAGTACCCCCTCCCCACTATGAGAGGTAGGGTGCTCGATGTCGCAAGTGTGGTCACTGTCACTGTGGGGCTCAGACAACCTAGATGAGTTTGGGGGTGACGAGCGGGTGCCCGGGAGATCTGGGGTGTGACCCTGAGCAGTCTGGCCTTGAAGCTGACGCAGGCTGTATCGCGGCAGGGGCAGGGGCAGGGCTTCTCAGCTGAGCTGGGCGGGCACGGGCACGGGCGCACCGGCCCCCCTGTATCACCTGGAGCACCCCCAGCGGGAGCATATAAATTACTTCAGCTGCCGAGCTGGCGAAGCACTTTAGGGGAGCGAGAGACATCGCGGTCCCCAGCCGGTGCTGTGGCAGCCCAGCCAGGGCTGCGGGCTGGAAACGGGCTGGCAGGGGAAACACCCGGCAGCCAGGCTGCTCCTCAGTTCCAGGCCACCAGCACCACCTGTCCCTCTTCTGAGACAAAGGGGAGAAATTCAGAATGCGGCTACTGAGGGGCCTGAATGGACAGGAGCACTGGCTGCCGGGCCGCCGCTGCCCCGATCGGCCGTGTTTACCCAGCTCTTCCTCCCGCTTTCTCCCTCCTCACCTGCTTCGGTAACTGCTTAGGACCAGCCACCGCTGTGGCAGGAAGGGAACCGACATTGCTGCCTTACGTGCCAGGTACCATCTCCCAGAGGCTCCGGACTTGCCGGAGGTTGTGAAACGAACGCCTGGCGCCAAGGCCTGGCAGTCAGCTTCCAGCCGACGTCCCTGTTCTTTGCCAGGGTGACACTGGCAATTCCTTACCATTCCATAGATCTGCTCTTGCTTTTCCCGCCCCACACCTGTCATTTTAGAACATTTTGCTTCAGTCTCTATACGGGATCCCTTTTAGGGTCCCGCCTGTCGCTGTGACACGATCCAAAAACCAAGAGCCTCCAACTCCCGTGCCCCACTCAGAGCTTCTCCCCAAGTCACGTCTTCCTCCCAACAGACTTTACCCTTTCACTCTGATTTCAGCAAGATCTTTTATTTCTCTCCTGTTCCCCGATCGTGTCACACGAGCACAGGCAGCCAGGTACCTGTGCGGGCTGTTGGCTTTGTAAACGTAGAGCGGTCGGTACGTATAAAAATCATGCACCTCAGTGGTTCTTTAGCAAACACTTAACGAGGAAAAAGACTTCAGGTGTTTTGAGATGTCTGCCCTCTCTTGCATTCTAATCACTGAAAAATATCCTGCAGAAATTTTACTCAACTGTAGACACGTTTCTTTGCACACTTGCTAGTAACTGCCTAGTGGATTTCAGATGTTTATTTCTGACAGCTGTTTGTCACAGAAACTGCTGGCTTCCATTCTGGCAGAACACTGGACCCGCACAGGTGACAAGCGTGCATTCCACACGGCACCTCGGCCTATTGATCTGACACTGCCGTTACACATCGTTCAAATCGGCATCTCCAGCAGGGCCGGAGGCTGCCCGCCACGTCAGCTAATAGGAAGCTGCTTCTAGACTTCATGCCTCCATCTGGCCACGTCCTTCACAGGAGACCGAAAGGCCAGCTCCAGGACTGCAGGTCCTCTGGGTCTGTCAGTCTTTCCAGTGTCCTCGCTCACACGTTCGCTCAGGCTGCCATCACTTAGCACACAGCTTGTGCAACGACAGGGACACAGGGCTGACTCTTCACTGTCTCTGAGTCCAGCATTTGAACGTTTATGTACAGACAAAGGAAAAATCACAGGCAACAGAACTCCAAACGAGACACACACTTGGGTCACATCTACAATTCCAGTTTTGCCAACGTCACTGGATGAGTGAGATCTTGTCCCGCCACAGCTCTGATTGGCCAACCAGGTGGTCTCAAAGTTCATCATCAAAATAGCTAAAATGGGGACTGTCCAGGCCCGGTTTGGCAGTGGGGCTTCTGTAGGCAGTGAGGTAAGTGCATTACGTGTTCAGTGGCTGATCCGTGGGAGCCTCAAAGATGACACCAGCCTCAGCTTTGAAGGAAGCGATGGTACAGAAAAGCCTCCAGTCCCAGAAGCCAAATGCTCTCTGCCATCAGAGACCTGCCAGGGTTTGCAGTGGGTGAGTGGATGGTGACATTTCCCCACGCAGTGACCCTGTGCACTGCCCCTGACCATGTCCACCCTGCCAATGCAGCCAGCCAGGTGCAGGGACTGCAGACTCTCACCTGCCTGGAGGGTTGAGGGGGTCCCCTGTGTGACTGACAGCAGCAAAGGCCAAGTTCTCCAGCGTCTGGTTTGCAGTGTTTTTTGTTTTTTCTTTTAAGGTGACCACAAGTTTTACGTTGTTACATTCACACTAAGAACCATCTGATTACTCTATTTCAGATGACTAAAAAAAACCAAGTAGCAACGTGACACAGACACCAGGGGCACCAAGCCTCTGGTCACAGGGCACAGGAATGCACCATTAGGCAGAAACGAATTGCAGAAGCAAATGAACGGAGGGAAAAACCTAAGGAAATACAAGCTGAAAACTTCCCACTAATGAGAACGAAAGGAAAGAGGGACCCGACATGGTACAAAACCCCCGGAGAAGAGCTTTCTGTTGAGGCAGGTTTCTGAGCATGGAATAGAAACACGTGGGTGCTGTGCTGCACCCCCGTCTGTCCAGGCCGACTCGAGGCCACTCTCGCCGACCCCAGCGCGGGAAGTGTTCTCATCGGCCGGGAGCGAAGATGAAATCCAGGGCCTGCCGTTCAGCTGCAGCGACGTTCGGGTGCCACAGATCCACCATGAACACCACCCGGGGGCCATCCTCCACTGAACCTGGGAGGGCAAGAGAGGAGAGGTTCGGGCAGCCCGGAGCCAGGACCCACGCGAGCTGGAACCCACACGTTAGCTTTCACGCACAGATCGGAAGACCTCCCCCTCTCTGATCAGGAGTGTGAGCCTGGCGTCCGAGGTTCCGAGCAGGGTGCCTAACAGGAAACGGGCAGAGGGAGGGGGGTATGTGGTAGGAGCACAGGGTATTTAGGGCACTGAAGCTATTCCGTGTGCTCCTGTCGTGGTCAACACATGTCATTACGCATTTGTCGGAACCCACAGAATGTACAAGAGAGTGAACCCTAATGTAAACCATCGACTTTAGTTAACAACAGTGTGTCAATATTAGATCATCAATTATAACAAATGTACCACACTAATGCAAGATGTTAATAAAAGGGGGAATTGTGAAGGAGGTGGTGTGTACGTTCTGCTCAATTTTTCTGGAAACCTAAAACTGCTCTAGAAATAAAGTTAATTTTTAAAAGCGGCAATAAGAGAACCAGACACTCACCTTCGTGGAAGGCGGTGTGTAGGAAGGAGTCGTCAAAGAGAAGGCAGCGGCCCTCTGCCCAACACTGGGGCTCTCCCCCTACCACCAGCTCACAGCCACTTGGAGTTTTCAGACCTTGGGGGGAAAAGGAGAGGAGAGAGTGAAGGCAAAGGCAGGCAGGATCAGGCATGGCTGGAAGTCAGGGGGTGGCTGCTTTGGGGGCAGCTCTCAACTTCCAATCTTTAACCTCACCCCTCAGGGCCCCTGTTTGGGGTTGGGGGGTAGTTCAGTAGGGCAAATACAGGCTAGGCACCTGGATCCCAATGTATTCCCTGGGAAAACTCATTCCTCCAGTGCCTTAATCTGCTCTGGGTCACGGGCTCCTCTGATTAGAGCCAGGAACTGAGGCTTGCCCTTCACTTAAGACTCCTGAAGCCCAGCCAGGGAAACTGAGGGAGTCAGGTTCAGAACCCAGCCTTTCAATAACTGTGTTTCCTATGGTCCCGTCTCTAGGGCTGTTTCAAGTGAGATTAAAGATGTAAAGGCTCACACAGTGCCCTCCTCTTTGGGTTCCAACCCTTAAGTCCACTTTGAGGCCCGTGGATGGCATGTCCTTAATCTAAGTTTCTTGGCCTCATTCTGGGAAACCAGAGGACACGCCTAAGAAATGCCTGAGCTTCAGGAGGATGTGGAATGACACCTTTGTAAGGAGCCATATGCTTAATGTGCCAGTGGCGAGTCCCATGCCAGTGCCTAGCCCTGAGAGGGGCCTGGGGGAAATGCTGCCGCACATGCGCTCACATCCCGCCTCCAATCCAGTCTGAGGAAACACTGGGCCCTGTCACTACAGATGCAGGAGGCTGGGCCAGCCTGACAGCTCTGTGGAAGGACTGGACCAGGAGGAAGGGGGCCCTGCAAGAGGGGCTGGGATTGTGATGTCCTCATCTGTCCTCAGTGACTCACTGTGACAACCATGACCCTGGGACAGTTGGCACTGTCTCTTATGACGAACATGAGACAGCTTTTTCTCTAACAGGCAGGGTATTTTAATGTACTCTCAGAGCCAGAGATGGATGGCTCTAGGAAGATGAATGCAGTGAGAATCCTTAAGAGGCCGCGTGGAGCACTGGGAAGGACGAGGCCCTGGAATCAGATGACTGGCTCTGACACTTATCTGCTGTGTGACTTTGGGCAAGCACCCAACCTCTGTAAAGAGGGGACATTAGCGTACTTACCTGCCAGTGCTAAGCGACCGACCACTGTCCTTGCTATTAAGAACTGAAGCCTGACTGTGAGCAGGCTTGTGTTAAACACTTTATAGACACCACCTCACCTACTGCCCAGATGGAGCAACTGGGATACAGAGAAGTTAAGGGACCTGCTGGAAGTCACTGTTTAGTCCTTGTAGGAGTTGAGATTTGTATCCAAATCTGTCTGGCTCCAAAGAATAGGATCTTACAACACTGGACAGCATGATATAAATGCTGGTTATTACATTAGCAGTGGTAGTTAAGTGATTGTTGATTTTCCTGCAGTTAATGTAAGTTTCAACCATCAATAGCACATTTCATTGAATCAGCTGAGACTGTCCTTCTGACTCTGAAACCAGGACCTCCCACTACTGTTGACAACTGCTAGGGGGCTAGGGTTGTAAAGGGATTCAGCGTCGCTCCTGGGCTTGAATGAAGAGAGCCCCAGGGCCATGTCCCCTTCATGCATGCCCGCACTGGCTGTGCAGGTGGAGGAGGCCTTTGGGACAGGTGCTTCTCTGTAGGGACAGTCTACCCGGTTTCAGAAAGAAGATCCCCTTCTCTGAGACACTAAATAACTGATTGCCACCCACCACGGTACAACAGAAAAACAGCCTGGCTTGCCAGCTTGCCAGCCCCCTGCCTCCCCCACACTCTGCTCCAGCCTCCAGCAGCCCACCATTCCTGCCTCTTGCCCACAAACCAATTTAGTTGGCACAAGTAATCAATACTCCCCTAAACAGAATTAGGGTGGCTCCTGGGGATAGAGACCGGTCCCGTACATGGCCTCAGCCAGTCCCATGTGCCCAGGCCCCTCTTTGGGTTAGGGTTTGCTGCTCTGTCCCCACCAACCACTGAGGAAGGCAGGAGAAGGGTGGAGAAAAGGCTCTGTCCACCAGTGGCCCCACTTCAGGAGGCTGGCGGCCGGCACTCAGGGTGGGCAAGGCAAACACAAGCTGATGTGCTGGTACCACACAGCTTGGCGGCCCAGAAATCCGACGGCATATGCATGATCGGAAAATGAGGGTGGGATTGTGCTTATTTAGTGAGGATTGGCACACTACGATGGTGCATTTTCATCTCCCTTCCCTGAGGGCCAGCCATTTGGATGGGTACCTGCCTCCCCAGGGACACCTGCCTGGTAATCGTCAGAGATGGCTTCCTGGAGATCCGTGGCAGTGTGGCTGGGATGACCCAGCCCCATACACCACGCCGGGGCTGCAGCTGCTGGAGGGACACTTCCACCAGTCACAACTCAGACGGAAGGCAGGAGGAGAAGGGTTGGCATTTCAAGAATCACAGGTACCTCCCTCGCCTTCAGCCATGTGTAATGGGCAGTGTGACCACCAGACATGCACCAGGCTCCACCAGTCTCGCCCTGCTCCCGACTCCCTCTCTGTCAACACTCAAGGTCACGTGACTCAGACACACCTTTATTCCCTTCCTGGGAGGACAGGAATGTGGGCATGACAGTGGAAAGGAGGAAACGGTGAGCAAAGCCAACCCTGGAGCTTGCCCTGGCTGTGGGGACTAGCCACGCTCCAACGGGATGTCATCCAAGGCCTCCTGCTGTCTGGGGAACATGACGTGGCCCACTTTTTCTGGTGGCAACTAGCGGGGCCAAAGAAAGAATGACAGGCCATTAAGAAGCCTAATCCTCCAACCAGCACTCCAGGGAAGTATCATCATCTCCATTTGACAGAGGAGAAAGTGGCAACTCAAAGAGTTTTAGGGCCCTGCCCAAGGTCACTCAGCAAATGGGGTTAACAGGTCTGAGCCCAGGCGCGTTTGCTTCCACCGTCTGTTCATTTCCCATTGTTCCTGAGGGCAGAGACCTTGTCTCATGGACCTTGTCTCTTTATTACACCGTCTGTCATAGTGTTTGATCCTCAAAGCTACCAGCAACTGTTTACTGAATGCTCTCACACTCTAGGCACTGTGTCGAGCAGCCATAGGGATATTACTTTATTTAATCCCCTAATGATCCCGCGAGATAAGTACTATCTCCACATTTTACACATGAGGAAACTGAGGCACAGACTCAGTTACCTGCCCAAAGTGACCCAGCTGACCATAAAGCCAGGCCACCTCCTCCAGAGCCTCAACCTTTCCTCCTGAAATACTCAGTGCCCACTGCTCGAACCCAGTTCCTTTTGGCTTCTAAAGCAGTGCAGCCCTCTGTGGAAGCCAGACTTGCCTCAGAATCCCGAGACAGGACATGAGAAGCAGAGGGCTCTGGGAGAGTGAAGCGGGGGTGGAGGGCATGGGGCGGCCCACTCAGGCTCCCCAAGGCTCCTATGTGGCCCTATAGACCCTGCTCCGCTCCACATCAGGCTCCTGGGCTCATGTGTTTTCCTTCCTCCATCCTGACGCCCGGGCAGCGCTGAAAACTCCCCAGCGCGCTCCCCCAGGCCGGGATGCTAAGGTGCTGCCATCGCACTGGCAACCACGCCATCACTGTGACTCACCAGGAGCAAACGAGGCATTCTGGGGAACCAATATCCCTATTTCCAAGCCATTTTCAAGCCTGCTTCTACTAAGTCGTCCCTCTCTATCATGCTCTGTGTGAAGCAATGCTTTACAACGCACACATTCTCTTACCAGATCCTCAGAGTACCTCTATAAAAGATGACCTTCCAAACGAGGAAACTGAGGCTCAGAGAGGTAAAGAGACTTGCCCAAAGTAACAGAGCCAGCTCGAGGTGGGGCCCTGATGCAAACACAGGCAATCTGACTCCAACCCTGTTCTCAAAATCACTGCCACACACAACACACACTTTCCCCATTTCCCTAGAGTCACCACCAAGCATCATTTTCTCTCTAAATATTCAGAAGGCACTGGCATCTTTCATAGCCACCCGTCATCATGATGAACCTCCATAATCACCGTAATAGTCTTTGGCTCTAGAGCTCCACTGTCCAATACAGTAGCCACCAGCTATATGTTGCTATTTATATTTTAATTCTGATTAAGTTAAAAATTGAGCCCCTCCGTTGCACTAATCACATCTCAAGCACTCAACAGCCACGTGGGGCTAGTGGCTACTGTATTAGTGCGCACGGAGACCGTTTCTACCAGCGCAGAAAGCTCCCTTTGGACAGAGCTTTTGTCAGTATTAGATTCACACTGATCACGAGTTTCTTTTTTGACCCAATTTCTGCTGTCAAAATTGCTTACAGGTGGCTCATCAGTCTGTAATAGAAATACAGTGAGGAATGTGAAAAAAAAAAGGATGATTCTGGCTACTGAGCTTTCTGTGTGTGGATCCCCACAAGTCAGGCCGACACTACTAAGGGTGGGTGCCGGGAGCCCCCGGCCCTGCGACATACCTAAATGGCACCGGATGCGGATGTTGGTGGGTCCATAGTGCTCCGTTATCACGGTCCCGGGGCTCAGCACGGAGATGCACGCGTTCCCAAAAACATTGTTACCAATACAGGTCCGAAGGCTTCCGAGCAAGCGGTACGTCCGTGGACACTTCCTGCAGTTCCTGGGGACGCACACCCCCTGATTGACCAAGTAAAAGGTGAGCCACTCCCCGCTGGGGGTGCTGTTCATTTTCCAGCCCTGTGGGAGGCTGCAGTTCGAGAAAGCTTTGTAGAGGGTCTCGAACTCGCACAGGATGGTCTGGAAGTTCCGCTCCAGCAGCTCCACGTCGTGCTTCTGGGCGTCCCGGGAGAAATAGGGCGTGGTGGGCAGGTCGGGCAGGAAGAAGACCTCGGGCTTCTGGATGGAGGGCCGGCTGCTGAGGTAGCGGCCCTGCTCGCGGATGCCCTTGTGGATGCGGCCCATGCCGGACCAGGAGTAGCGCTTGGCGTACTCCTGCAGGTTGTGGTAGAGCTTCTGGTTGAGGCCCTCGTTGTGGGTGCAGCGCACGCACTCGGGGGACTGGCAGTACACGTACCCATTCTGCAGCCCGTTGGCATCTGCGGCCTGCATGAGGGAGTTCACGGAGACGTAGGGCCTCGGCTGCTCCCGGCCCACGTGGTAACAATACCACACGAACAGGACCAGCAGGCAGGCCACGGTGACCACGGCGGTGGTGTCGCAGTCCCGCACGGACTGGATGCCCGTGGCGATGCAGTCCCGCAGGCCATCCAGCGACCAGCTCCAGCCCACCAGCCACTCGAGCGACATCTTGGGGGAGTTGTTTTGGGTGTGAAGCGAGCTCAGTCAGTCAGTCCTCTGGGGCCCCAAACACCTTGTAGGTTAGCATGGGGCAGCTGGGACGGGGGGAGGCATGGCTGCCCCTGGTCCTCAGGTCCTGCCAGGGGTGGCATTGACGAACAGTGCGGCCGCCTGTGCCCACCACTCCACTCTAGGCAAAAGTCACCGTGGGCAAAGCAGAAGGAGCTGCTTTATGTCACGTTAGCAAGTGCTGTTGGTCACTGAAATGATTTTTTAGGAAGTCCAAACCTGAGATGGAAAAACAACACACAAACCAGCATAAATTTTTATACCTGGAGAAGTCCTCAGCTGAAATGGAAAGTCCCAGATCATTTTGTAAGGTCCTTGCTGGTAGGGGACACACTTCTCAATCTTGTGTATTCTCTCTCCACTTTACCACCACCTCCGTTTCCTAAAAGACCAGCAGTGTCTCATCAGCATCAAGTACTGTTTGCTAATTGCAGTAATCCCAGCCATCTGATGCCATCCTTAGGAGCTGCTCTAGTTCCCATTTCACAAATGAGGAAACTGAGGCTCAGGGAGGCCCTATAACTCCCCCAAGTTCATGCAGCCACAGCAGGGACACAAATCCCATCTGACTTCAAAGTGATACCCATTTTGCAATCCTCTTTCATACCAGATACTTAAAAAATGCTTACTCTCCTTCAATCTCTGTACCTTTAAAGCAGGAATGGGGAATGTCTGGCCTGCGTATACGGCCTGCAAAATCATTTGGTCTGGTCCTGCTAAGGAAACTGTAGGTCCGAAATTCAATAAATCTAGGAGCTTTTATCATAGCTAATTTTTAAGTTGATAATTTTGTATGGCCCGAGAATGATGTTACAAACATCCAAATGGCCCTTGGCAGAAAAAAAGGTTCCCCACCCCTGATTTAAAGAGGGGGGGGTGGTTCAAACGCATTTTAAAAATGGCAAGGGAACTTTAAAACTGTTTTACTTTGTTTTTATAGCCCTCCATCATTCTTACTGAATCTCTCTTGCCCTTCTGACGTGGATTGGGCTTACATCAAACCGGAAAAGAAAGTGGGTTCCCTGTGGCCACAGCAATGGCAGACAGTGGGCACTTCCATCTGCCCCCTTGGGAGACTACTTACTGGCCTCTGTCATGAGGTTATGAAAGTGACATGATGAGACAGAATGGAAATAAAAGCCCTTTCAGGTTCTGACTGTCTTCCAAACAGACACATGTGCTTTCCCGTGTATTTTATTGATGGTCAGGGCCACTGTCCAGCATCCTGATTATCGTAATAACTTAAGGTATGATCGTAGCTCAGTGGTCATACTACCCATTCTATAAAGCCCCTGCCATTTCCCAGCTGGAACCCTCTGCCCACCCTGCTTTTTCTAGCCTGCTGAGAACAGCCAGGCCTATGTTCTACTATAATTCTAATACATCCCCTCATCTCAAGGAGCAAAATAATTCAGACAATTCATTTTGTACTCTGCCCTCTCTTCTCTCTCAGGAATATAAGAAGGAAACGAAAGAAGTGGGAAAGCTGGACCCTCACCTTTCAGGACTAAATGTGGCCTGAAAATTCTTGCAGTGGAGCAGAGAGATTAAGAATCCAAACTGGAGATGGGCTAGACTGAGTATTAATCCCGACCCTGGACAGGTCACTTCCCGTCTTAAGTCTCAGTTTCATCTATAACATGGGGTAACGCTCATCTCACTCAATGAGGGTGAGCAACAGCTGTCAAGCCCTTACGATCAGGTCATGATAAGCATTCAATATGTGCTGGTGACTGCTATGACGTGTGGCATCCTTCCTTGATCAGCAAACCAAAGGTAGGTTCTGGACACTTTTGTTGCCACACCTCTCAAGTGGTTGTTTGTTTGTTTTTTGGCCCCCAGACTTGCAGAGCTAAAAACGAAAGGGAAACTTTAGGTGATCATTAACTGCCTCTTTGCATATTTCCAGTTTACAGTGAATAAGGAATCGCCTGACTATTGTGTCCAGTAAATCCAAAGCGCACATGCTGAATATTCATGCATGGTTTTTATGTTTCAAGGAAAAATACAAGAGTGGGGAGGTGAGAAGCTAAATTTTTTCTCACATGCTCTCAATTTCTTCACAGATTTGGGAGAAGAGGAAAAGGCTGGGCCCCACTGGATGGAAACAGACCCCTCTGGTTCTCTCTCAGTCCTACCGTAACTGGCAGCTGTTTCCTCTTGAGAAGAGAAAGAAAATTTGAGTGAAGGGTGTTTTATTTGCAAGCCAGCTCCCAAGCAAAATCCCAGGATTCCCGAACTTCAGTGTGAAACAATCACCTTCATAATAACAAGCACTTTCACTAAAAGGATTTCCCCCATCGCTGAGCTAAATTCCCAGCTGGAACTTTTAAACTCCCTCTCTCAGGAGGAGAGGTTGTCTTAAATGTTCTAAGAGTGAGATGGTGATAATTTGCCAGACACCTGTTAAGTGTTAGTTCCCCTGAGCCCTGCTAAGCGCTAGAGTTCAACTCAATCAAATGAAGGCATGGAGGACAGCATAGAAGATGAAGGAATCGCTCCACTGAACACCCCTGCAGCTTACCCCCTCCTCCGGGAAGCGTCATCCTGTGCAATGACAGCCATGAGCGCTCCCTAGACTGAGCTATAAACAAAAGGCAACAAAAGATCCTGAACCCCAGAGCTCCAGGTTCGGACCCTGTTCACAAGATCATAAACACCACTGAGAGCTGAAGTCAGGACTTTTCAGACCTGTCAGTTACTTTTAGCCAAAATATGCAGGCAGGTGCCTGAGCCCAGAGGTGGCTTAACAAGCTCATAGCTGATATGGCTCCTGAGCCCAGAGGTGGCTTAACAAGCTCACAGCTGATATAAGACAGGAAAAGTAACCCTTACATTTGCAGGGTGATTGGCAGTTTATTAAATGCTGTTTCAAATATTTGGCCTATTGTACCCAGTGACAGCCAGTGTGTGTGTGTGTGTGTGTGGGGGGGTGAATTCCCCCACCCCACCCCCAGTCTCAGGGACCACAGTAACTTCCAGCTTCCTTCACACATCTGCTCAGGTTCATCTGTTTCATTCCTGTCCTCATTAGGGATGGGGGCATCTCAATGCAGCTCTGCACAATCCAATTCCAGATCTTAAAGGTTAGTCAGCTTGGGGAATGAAGTCCAAATTCATGGCCAACTGGTGAGCAAGTCCAATCAAATACAGCTTCTTATACAATGAACACCCACCTGGGGGCCAGACTTATAGCTCTAACCTGGTTAGTCTCGTTCACACTACCAAAGGGCTGCCCAACGCTCAAAAGCTTCTGACCATTCTCAGGGTGAGGCCAGGTCACCCCAGAAACCCCCCAGGGAGTGCTGAGCAAGGTGAGTAATGCAAGCTGCCCTCTCCACCCAGGAGCCAGCAGCCAGGAGCCGCTCTGGGGCCAGTGCATCCCCGTGGGGATCTGGAGACCTTCCCTCCTCACTTTCTTGGCCAGCTTTCTCAGCATCCACTCACTCCGCAGAGTGGGGTTAAGGGGAGGGCAGAGGATGGGTTAATCCAGATGGTGACCACCAGGAGGTCAGGGGAAGAGGGGGATGGGACGAGAAAAAGGTGACTATTGACAGGAAAAGTAGGCGATCAGCTAAGAGTAGGGAATGAGGCTTATGGTGATAACTCAAGGGACAGAGGAGGAGGGTCACCATGGAAAATATGGGAAGTGGGTGATGCTCAGGGCTGTGGGGGGAGGGGGTGGCAAGGAAAGGGATCGAGGAAGACGGCCACCGGGAGAGGAGGGTGATATGGGAGGGCATCAACCCTAACGAGGGGCCGGCGATGAGGCAGGGGCCAGGAGGAGGGT